TAGTAATACAAGTTATGTATGGAGGGATTGACTAAAGGTCAGTTCATGTACTTACCAATATCAGTGGATGAGTGCTTAACCTCTTCTATTGAGAACTGTAAATTGATAATAATACGATTAAATTATCAACACAATAATCACAAACCTCTCTTAGATCATATTTATTTTCACCACATGTTAGTTCAGTGATACCAATACTAGCTAACTGTTGCTGTAGCTTTGTAGTTAGAGGAAATAATAAAGAATAAAGATACTCAGGAATGAGGTAACCCAAACAGAGAGAACTCAGGTGGACAGATCTGAAGTGAAGATCATATTCAGGAATATCTAAACCTTTTGGTATTGCTCTACGAAAGAAGAATAGGTCATCCAGTGTGTAGTCATCTCTGTCAACTTTAGCAATCATTACTCGTGTACCAGGAGGAACACCTTTTACACCAAACTCTACAGCATCAGCATCTTTCAATAGTCCACCACTGTTTATAAAATAATCCTTTAACTTTTCTTCATATGACGTCCAAGTTCTTTTTAGCAAACGATTTTTAGGTAGGAATACTCCAACAAGTTTTATCATAAGTTTATAGTTGAACCATGACACATACTTGTCTTGTAACAAAGTAAATAATTTTGATATTGTTCCAATATCTTTGAACTCTTCTCTAACTGCTTGAGCAGTTGTTTGCTGTCCCTTTTTAGGACCAAGTAATGACAATGCGTGTGTATTGAGGTAGTCAATGATTTTGGAAAGATCATTTGATTTGAAGGAATTTTTTGTTATTCTAATCGCCTCAAGAAATTCATCTCGCAGATCATGCAGTTTGCTTGCTAAGTCAAAATCCTTCCAAGAAAGACCATTAGTGCCTAAAATGTACAAATAATTATTTTTACTACCCTAAAGCCCATAGAGTTTAAATGTAAGCATACAGTGTCTGTAATCTGTGTTCAATATAGGGATATACCGTATAGCACTTTAATTTTGTGGAGCTAAAATTTCGTGGATTCATACAAATCAATTTTTCGTGGAAATAATTTTTGCAGATTTGCAATGTTAGTGCCACACCTTTAATGGCAATTGAAATTTTAGCGGATCTTTAATTTCGCGGTTTCATGCTAACCGCGAAAATAGCAAAAGTTTAGCTCCTCGAAAATAAAGCGCTATACGGTAGTAACACTAGGTTGCACCGCTTTAGTTTTTTTTCTAAATACCTGTTGTTCTGTCAGTGCTTGCTGGTGACATAGCTACTTCATCTGTTTCTGGAGTGACACTCTTTTCTGAAAAAATAGAAAATAGAATGAAATATCTGAAGCTATAAAATTGCATTTACATTTGCATGTGGATTTTGTTTTTTTACAAACGAATGATGTGCATATTTTTGTAGGTGTGCAAATGCTACAAAATTTATTTTACAAAAAAAAAAATCTAATTTTGCATTTTTATAAATATATCTGCCATCAAACTTTTATGCTATTATACTGTATGCTGGGATATATTTGCGGCTGTATATGTAATGATATTCATTGCTTGATAATGATATTCATGTACTATATATCAGTAGTGTGACTTCAACTATGCAAGTAATTAGCTCAATACCAAAAAAGGAGATAATTAAGCTAACCTACACTAGCACATAATGTATTATCATAGATACTGATACACTGACAGCGATACTATAGATGACAACACTCAACTAATATATGTACCTTTTGAACTAGTTGATCCTGCAGGTGGCATAGCTGGTAGAGGA